TAGATATAAAAATTATTTATAATATATTTTCAATAATTTTGTTGACGATCACGACAAAAAAATAGGAAAATCAATATTTATTTATATATTTTATATAATGAAAAATAATATATATGATTGATGATCAAAAATCCTTTATTCCGGAACGGTTATTCTTCGCGAATAAAAATGTTATTTTCGCGAAATTTTTGCGCACCCCATATTTATCTTTCGCGGGGCCCATGTTGGCCAACAACACCTCTTATAAAGATTTATTTACCACCTGCCAAATTACGCCAGAAAATCACGGATCATTTCTTGCTAGCCTTTTAAACATGCAAATAGCATCACGGAATCCCTTCTCAGGACACTTTTTTTGCAAAATTTACTGGCCCACCCCCTTCAACACGCACTTTGACTTTCGCCCGCTCTTTCGCATAACTTTCGCGGAATTTTCGCGAAAATATCCCTATTCATAGACCCCGGCCATCAGCAGGGGGTGCACTGAAGGAAAAGCGAAAACCAGGGGCCTTTGCGTTTGGCTCTCGCAAACCCTCACTTTTGGAAATTTGATTATTGTTACTCGTATTCTCTGGTGCCCTTCTCCTGCCGGACCCCGGACGGCATTGGGTAGCAGTCCTTTACATATAATAATTATAATACCCAATTTTTGCGAAATTTTTACGAAATAAAATATTATTTTTACGAATTCGAAAAAAAAAATCGCGAGAATTTCCAACATAACATTCACGTTTTTCGTAAATAAAATTCCTTACAAAATATTTTAGATCGATTGCCATATATATATATAAAATAATAATATATAAAAATATTTAATATTATTATAATAAAAATAATTTTAATATAATTAATTATATATATATTATTATATTATAAATAATATATTCAATATTCGTTATAATATAAATATTTAAATTTAAAATCACCATATATAAAAAATATCCAAAATATCATAAGAATATCTATATATATACAAATCTTCAAAATCCTATAAATAAATATATATATATATTAAATATATGTATCAAATTTTCAATATATATTTCGATAATTTTGTTTAAAAAAAAAAAATATATATATATAATAATATAGGAGAAATAATAATTATTTATATATTTTTATATTTAAAAAAATATAAAATATATGCAAAATTATATTAATATTTATATAATTATATATATATTTTTAATATATATTTTTTTTAATA